AGGGCTCAGTGAGTCTTTGCTCCTCCAAGATGAAGGGGTGCAGTCTGATGTACCTCTGATGGTTCTACCCAGTCATAACATTTACAGCCCCATGGATTCTGAGGTGCCAGAAGCCTTCAAAAGATCTGTATTCTTAAGCCCATGTGTGGTCATCCTGCCCCTCAAGTGGGGGAAAAAAAAAACAGTATAAGGAAAGGAGGCAGTACTTGACATGAGGAAGAGACAAGGTCTGGCTGCCTCAGGAGCGGGCAGTCACAGGGAGGAGCGGACACTTACAGATCCTCCCCTTGCAATAGGTCTCACAACCCAAGAGACTACAACATCAGGCTAGGGTACACCAAGCTGAGCAGTCCCACCACGTACAGCAGGGAGTTGTCAGTGTACAAGCTCATCGTTCACAAAGACTACGACAAATTCTACCGCCAGGGAAGCGACATCGTCCTGATGCAGCTGGAATCGCCGGTGGAGTTCAGTTCCCACATCCTCCCAGCTTGTGTCCCAGACAAAAACACAACAATCCCCAGTCACAAGGCCTGCTGGGCAAGCGGCTGGGGGCATCTCAGAGAGGATGGTGAGTACACAGAACAGGTGAAGAGGGGGGAGGGGCAGGAGACTGTGGAGGCCTTTTTCCTGGGGTTGTGAACCTCAGTTTCTGGTTCAAAAGCGGAGCTCCGCCTTCCAGATCAGAAGTGTGGGCTCTTTGACTCCAGAGCCCCGAGTGTGGCTGACCCTCTACACCGCAAGGCTCTCACCAAACGGTGGTTGCTCTGCCCGGGCCAGGAAAGACACGGGGTGTCCTTCAGAAGATGAGAGAGACCAGGCATGGGGCAGGTTGGGGTGTTTACCTGGGGAACACTCACCTCTGTGAACCTCACTGCCCAACCCTCAAGGCAGGGGAAGACTGCCTGTTCTTCCAGCTTGTACAACCTGTCTACATGTCATTCCGATCCATGAACCCGTGGATCCAGTCACCTGTGGACCAAAAGCCTTAGTGTTGGGGAGTGACATTCTCCTTGTCCTTGTTCCCTAAACAATACGGTATTGTGACTATGTGCATCCCATTTGCCCTGTGTCAGAGAGTGTCATCTAGAGATGATTTCAAGTGTGAGGGAAGATATGCACAGGTTCTCTGCATCCACTATGCAGCAGGAATTCAGTGTCTTCAGAGTTTCGTATCCTGGGCCACAGAAGAGCCTGCTGATGACAATAAGGGATGACTGTAGATGCTTAGACTGAGAGTACAGAGATCCTTGGCAAGGATTTTACGCTGGACTGAATGCTTTTGACTTAAGACAGTATAATGGCAAGTGAAATAAAGTGAATATAAATTTGACGTGAAACTTAGGGTCCCAATCTGGCAGAGCAGCCCCGAGGAGGCTTGCAGGCAGATGTTTCTCTGAGGTCAGGGCTAGGGTCCCATCCCTGCTCCTAGGCTCTAAGTGTCAGGCTCACCAGCATTAGAGGGGATGGTCCTTCACTATCTAAGCCCAAGTCAGGGCGATAGGGTCTCCAGGTCCAGCCAGGGGGGTGAGAGTGGGAACAGAGAGGGAAGGTGTGGGCTGGGGCAGCGCTCAGAGCAGAGAACCTGGCCTCCCTAGGAGCTGGACCTTCACCATCTTCTGTCATGCCCTCTCCTGACCATGGTTGCTGGGTCTGGGGGCAGGCTTGGGTCTGCTACTCGCAGGCAGCTCTGGCCACCCTTGAGGGATGTGCACAGTGGCCCCTGCCTGAAGTGCTGCTGTC